TCCAGAATGAGGCTGCCTAGGTTCTGGTCTGCAGAGCTCAGCTCTGCTTTCTAAACTCCAGAGGAAGAGTGGAGAAAGGAGGCCTGTTTCCTCCTGGCTGTCACCAATGACCCCTCAGCCACCCTGTGGAGGCCCCTGAGGTAGGACCTGCACGGAGAGAGTGGGGGAAGCCGGAACGGGCTGCCGATGCTGGGTGGGCCTTACGGTCAGTGTGTGCCACCTTGGACATGTCACCCCATCTCTGGTTTTCTGTCAGAGAGGGGATCCCAGAGCTTCTTCCAGGTTCTGACATATCATTCTGGTAACTGGTTTTTACTATCTAATCTTTGGATTCAGAAGGAAAATCCTCCCATGGACATCAGAGAGTTTCCAAGAGTTAAAGCAGGGCCTTGGAGCCCAGACAAGAAAGACGGTCAGTGCAGCCCCCATGGGTGTCCAGAGCACCCCTCTACCCCACGGGGCTCCCCTGGGGTGGGACACTTAAGCCTCACTCGGTGACCCCTCTGGCAGTCGGAGTCACGCTTCCTCCACGTGCCGACAGTGGGGGAAGGTCACGGGGCTCGCTGTCCTGCTGAGGAGGGCTGAGTGCCAAGAGGGCCTGGCTTGGAAGCCTCACTCCCTCTTCTTTTCTGGTCTCATGTAGCTCAGCCTCTTTGGAGGGCCGTGGGGAAGCTGGAACCACCTGCTGTGTGGCCCAGGAAGCACTGGGAGAGCCAGGAATAAGGATGTTCTCAGCTTCCTCATGAGAGGAAGCCTGTGTGGTGGTTAGAAGTGTGGGTACTGGGGTTCAAATCCCAGCTCTGTTGCTGACCAGCTGTGTAGCTTTAGGCAAGTGACTGAACTTTTCTGTGCCTCAGTTTCCTCATCTGTAAAAGTGGCCGGGGTTGCCGTGAGGATAAATGTTCCTGGTTGCGCCCAGAGCCCTCACGGACACACATGGATCCAGATGCCACAGCTGCCTTAGCTGGCCAACCTCAAAACAACACATTTGTTCTTACAGTGTTGGAGGTCAGAAGGCTAAAATCACAGAGTCATGAAAGGTGGCCAGCAGGACGGTGGAGCCTTTGAGACCACGGGGCACCTTCGCTAACAGCCACGTACTGGCTCCTGCTGGCGGGCAGTCTTGGCCAGCCAGGCTGAGCTCCCTACTGGCGGGGCCGAGCCTGGGTGTCCTCTGGTGATGCAGAGTACAGAACAAAGCCGCCCACATTCTGGTCCACAGGACTCAGCTCTGCTTTCTAGACTTCCAAATAAGAAGAAGAGGGAAAGTCCCCGGTCTCTGGGCACAACCAGGAACAGAGAGCAAGTTCTGACTCAGCAGAGGGATCGATTCGTTCCATGTAAAGAGCTGCACTGTCAAGGCCGACACGAGCCAGGGGCTTAGCTCACCGCATCACACCCAGTCCTCTCAGAACTCTGCCGGGTGGTGTTACTGTCCTGCCGTTCAGAGGAGGGAACTGGGGGACAGGTAGGTCAAGCGACTTGGCCAGTGTCTGAATTGCCAGTGTACAGAGCTGGGAGGCGAGCCCAGGCCCGTGGGACCATAAATCCAGTGCAAAAATCCATCCTCCTGCACCCTATGGAACAAAAGTAGGTCCAGTTGCTTTCCTGGACACACAGATCTAAATTCCACAGCAGCCTTGGCTGGCCAATCTTAAAACAACAAATTTATACTCTTAATGATTCTGGAGGTCAGATGTTAAAATCAGCGTGTCAGCAAGGTTGTTTCCTTCCGGAGGCTCCAGGGGAGAATCTGTTTCTTTTCCTTTTCCAGCTTCTAGAGGCTGCCTGCATGCCTTGACTTATGGCCCCTCCTGCCATCTTTAAAACCAGCAGCTTTGTCCAGGCGCAGTGGCTCATGCCTGTAATCCCAGCACTTTGGGAAGCCGAGGCAGGAGGATCTCTAGCCCAGGACCTGGAGACCAGCCTGGGCAGCAAAGTGAGACCATGACTCTACAAAGAATAGACAAAACTTAGCCAGGCGTGGTGGTGCATGCCTGTAGTCCCAGCTACCTGGGAGGCTGAGGTGGGAGGATCACGTGAGCCTGGGGAAGTGGAGGCTGCAGTGAGCTGAGACCATGCCACTGCACTCCAGCCTGCATAACAGAATGAGATCCTGTCTCAAAAAAAAAACACAAAACAAACAAACCAAAAAAACCCCAAAACCAGCTTCTTGCTTCTGTTGTCACATCTCCTACCTCTGACTTTGATCCTCCTGCTCCTTTTTATAGGACCTTTGTGATTACATTGGGACCACCTGTAAAATCAGGACAATCTCCCCATGTCAAAATTATTAATTTAATCACATCTGCAAAGGTCCTTCTACAACATATTCACAGTTTCCGGGGATTCAAATGGGGATGTTTCTGGGGGGTGGCCCACTGATAACCAGTGTTACAAGTTTCTTGTAAATTCTTCCAGAGATATTTTATCTATAAATAAATAAATCCAAGTCCATAGCCTTCCCCCACCCACTTTTTATACAAATGGCATCATTCCATATCGGTGCTCAGTTTTCCTCTTTTTCTTTTTCTTTTCTGTCCTCTTTTTCTTTTCTTTTGAAGGCTACACAGAACCTGTTATATTATATGGAAATACCCTAATTTATTTCACCTTTTTACTGTTGAAAGGCTTTTTGGCTCTTTCCAATGCTTTGCTTCATAATCCTTTGTGTTATAATGCTGCAATGAATAACCTTGTTTGTAGGATAATATTCAATTTAAAATCTCATTTTTCAGGCCAGGCATGGTGGTTCATGCCTGAAAATCCTGGCCCTTTGGGAGGCCAGACAGAAGGTTCACTTGAGACCAGGTGTTCAAGACCAGCCCTGGTAACATATCGAGATCCGCTCTTTTCACAAAAATTTGAAAATTAGTGGGGTATGGCATGGTGGCATGTACTTATTTGGTCTCACGTATTTGGGTGGCTGAGGTGGGAGGATCACTTGAGCACAGGAGGCAGAGGCTGCAGTGAACCGTGATCACACCCCTCACCGCACTCCAGCCTAGGCAACAGAGTGAGAACCATCTCAAAATAAAATAAAATAAAATAAAAGTCTTGTTTTTCAGAATTTGGGGGTGCCATTTAAGACATTTTGAAACCTCACAGAACTTTTTTGGGGAACTTGTTGCCTTGGAGATTAACCTGCCCTGTCCCGCCCCCGTGATCTATACTTGCTCTTTCTCCCTCCTGGCTTCCTTGTGTGTACTTGCGAGCCCGTGTCCATCACGCTCTGCCTTCAATTCTAGACGCTGTGGTGTGAATACGCTTGAGTGGAGGCCGCATGCTTCCCAGGAGGGTGTGTATTTCCAGCGTTGACTCTCATGATAGTGTGAAAGGCTCTGGAGAGAATCACAGGCCTCCACAAACAGGCAAGGGGAAAAATGTTCCACAGACGTGTTTCAGGGACAACAGACTTCCCGATCCTAGGTCATGCTGGTCCATAACTGGATCAGGCTGACTCTCCTTCCCCCACACTGCGGGTGTAGGCAGGGACAAGAAAGAGAAGTCAGAGACACAGAGAAGCTGTGATTTGCTTGAGGTCACTAAAGTACTTAATGGCAGAGTTCAGACCCGACCTGAGGGGCAACAAAAGACACCCCCTCAAATCCATGGGGAGCAGAGTCTATCTGAGTCAGATCCCAGATTTCCTGGGGCTTTCACGGAGCCAGGTGTGTACACTGAGCTAGGACGGGTTTCCCAGGGTTCTGTGTGGTCACACAGCTCAACAATACAGACCAGAAAGCAGTGGCCAGTAGGCTGAATTTGGCTGGCGGGTGTTTTCTGTTTGGCCTTCACAGTGTTTCTTCTAACTTGTTATTATAGGAAATTCAAACATGCCGAGGGAATTGTACCATCAACAACACACACCCATCACTCTGCTCCAACAACGATCAACTCAGGCCTATCTTGCTTCATCCTATACCCTCCCTCACTTGCTTCCCTTCCCACCTTCAGATACATGGAAGCGAATCCAGAGATACCATTCCATTGCAAATATTTCACTGTGTATCTCTATAATATAGGAATTTGGGGAGTTTCATTTGAGACAGGGTCTCCCTTTGTTGCGCAGGCTGGAGTGCAGTGGCGCAATCGTGGTTCACTGCAGCCTTGACCTCCCAGGCTCAAGTGATCCTCCCACCTCAGCCTCCCAAGTAACTGTGGTTAAAGGTGTTCACCACCACATCTGGCTAATTTTTTAAATTTTTATAGAGATGGGGGTCCCACTATGTTGCCCAGGCTGGCCTCAAACTCCTGGGCTCAAACGATTGTTTTGCCTCGGGATAATGGATGTGAGTCACTGTGCCCAGCCAGGAACTTTTACATAATCCTTTTTGACAAAAATTTTCCCCCAAGAAATTAGAAAGTTTTACCAAAAAAAAAAAAAATCCAGGTTTCTGTCTTCTCTTAAAAATTTGGAAGCTCTGCCAATCCTGGGCCCAGATGGTAATCACTGGTTAGCGCTGAGTAGATGTTGACTTTTCAGGTGAGGGGTGTGACGTCTACTTTGCCACAGTCCCCACCACTCCCTACCTGGCCATCTGACTCATAACACGTCACCTGCCTGGCTCCTTTAGGCGTTTAATTTGTGTAGGAAGTTGACCTAAAGGAGATATTAGAGAAGACACTAAAAACTTGAAGAATGTGAAAATCAGCCAGGAGATACAACTGTGCTTTAATGCGGGTTATAGAACCACACTGGATATGAGGCATTTCGGAATAAACTTTGAAAACTGGAAGTACCAGTTTGTGAATTTTGCTCAGAGAGAACAAGGTGGGGAGCAAGTGACAGTGGAGAAGCATCTCCTATGTGCCAATCTCTTCTACCACAGGCCTTTTCTCATGAAATCATCAGCCACATGCAGTAGGAGAAACACCTTCCCATTTTACAGATGAGAAAACTGAGGCAAAGACAGGTGAAGTAGGCTTCCCAAGGCCACTCAGGTCATGAGCAGCAGAGCTAGGATTCAGACCTGACTCTGAAGCGATGCATCCTCACCATGGCCCATCGCTCCTTTAAAGAGCCCCGGAAGAGAGAATTTGACAAAGTGGTAGCCCGTGGGGCCTGGGATGGGGGGGGAAACTACACTAGGGCTTGGGGCTGCTGAGGGCCTGAGGGAAGGAATAGGGAGCCTGGGGGCAGAAGTAGAGGAGGGGGCTGCCCCATGGCTGCAGAGGGCATCTGGGAAAAGACTCTGCTGAAGGTGGCCAGGAGGGCAAAGGTGACGGTGGCCATCGTTATATGGTGGTGGTGGGGAGAGGGACATGCCTTCTTCTTGTCCCTCTCAGGTGACCCTCTCTGTGGAACTTTGATGGGTCCCTTTGTTCCCTTGAGCCTCCTGAGTCCCCAGCCAGGGCCCTGGGTGCTTTGCTGGGAGCTTGGCAGGAGGTCCGGCAGCCCCCATTACTACCTAGTTCCTTACCAGCCCAGGGCATCTGCCTGCTACTTCCCTGCCTGGAAGGAAGGCCTGCAGCCTGGTGCGTTCCTGATGCAGCCTCCACCGCCTCTCAGACTCTCACACAAGCTCAGCTCCCTGTCGTGTCCTCTCAGGGCCAGGCTTCTCCTTATCACAAGCTTAGACTGTCTGAGTAACTAATTGGATTTGTGTCTGCCTCCACACAGGACCCTAAGACCCCTGGGGCTGAGACTCCGTATATACTGGTCATAGCCGCACCCCATCCCCTTGCATGGCGCTGTCATACCCAGGCCGGCCACTGACTAGCGCTGGAGGGGAGCAAACGGGAGGCCGGCCACCTGACTGATGGCCCCACACCTTCTCCTTGCAGGCCGTCCCCTTTTCTGGAACTATCCAAGGGGGTCTCCAGAACGGACTTCAGATCACTGTCAATGGGACTGTTCTCAGTTCCAGTGGAAGCAGGTGTGTGTGTGTAATGGATGGAAACGTTTCACTCCAGCCTCGTCCCTTAGTAAACCACTGCCTGTGAGCCTGGGTTAGTTCAGACAACAACATCCAAGCTCACGTGCCTGGCTCAGGGGAGGCCCAATGCGTCCCTAACCCATGCTGCTGGGCACCACTCCGCAGGCACAACCTGCAGCCAGGGGCGCCATTAACCTGGACTCCGGGATGAATGGGGCCCTGGGAGCTGGCGGTCTAAGGAGGGAGTGGGATGGTCAGAGTTGGAGGATTATGTTCTGAGTTGAACCTTGCACACTGTGACTAAGAGTTACAAAAATCAAACCTCCTCCATTTCCCATCACTGCTCTCATCCACTCTGAAGCTCTCCTTCTGCTGACATGAAAATACTGAAAACTGACATTCAAAGTAATTTGGTCTCTTTTGATTTCAAGGCCTTTTCTGGAAACTACTAAGTCAATTCAAAATACTAACATTGTATCAGGGCAGTTTCCCACCCCCTCCTCCCTCCCAAGGTGGGCTGTCTGGGAACAGAGAGGAGCTCACATGGCTTCTCAGGGGCTGGGAGGGCTCTAGACCCTCATGCAGGCCTGGCTGACCCCTGCCGAGGAACCCCGACCAGGGGGCACAGGGGTGTGCAGCTCTCTCCTGGCTTGGTGGGAGACCACGGGTGGCTGCCTGCTGAAGTCTGCGGGGCCCACAGAAGAGCCTCTGGTCTCATGGCTCGCTCTCCGAAGCCTCTCTGCCTCAGTCCCAGGGGACCTCTCCTTAAGA